TGGTAAGCCTGAGGCAAAGCAAAGAACAAAAGCACTTTTAATTAATCACTTTGACCAGGGCCACAAATTCTTACCTACAAGTATTTAAAGAAAAGGAAGACAATATATATATAATGCCTATATATAGTGCTTTCAAAGAAGAGAATCAGAAACATTAAAATTAGACTAAGGATATGGAGGAGCTTTGATTATGACTTCTACAATTTTGGTTGACACACATAGAGATATGTAAGAAAAATATTTTAGCAGTCTTGGAACATTTTTCTTTTTTTGCTAAAGATATTATTGAATATCTTGACTCAATTGTTCACTTAACACACATCATTATCATTAGAATTCTGTTTCTACAAAAGTGTGAAAGTTTATAGATAAAATTTAGACCTTTAGAAATACAAAGTTAAAAAATATGAAATGGAAGTCAACATTGAGGGAAAAAATGTATGAAATTAAGTTTCAGGAAGGAAACAACAAGAATTGCCAAGACTAAGAATTCCATGCCTGAGACAACTCCATCAAGCAGCCCTTTGGGAAAAAATTCATGTTGTATCTTAGTATCATTTACAACTCTTTAACTAATAATAGTAAGGTTTCCTCAAGCTTCCTACTGACTGTTGAACTTTCTGAATACCCATTAGAGGTAAATACAAAGTATATCAGATTAAATGTCGAAGATTTTGTCAATCGTTGATGGGGAACAAAAGCTCGTCATAAATTAAAACTGGACTTCTATGTCATCTGTTGTGAAAAAGAATATTCATCATTACATAATGCCCTTTACTTATTCAAGTTCCTTAACTAACTAGAACAGAACAGAGAACAAAGAGGAAGGTATTTTTTTTTTTTTTTTTAAAAAAAAAAAGCCTCTGAACAACAAAAACAAATGTCACAAAGGTCATCATGTACTAAAACTTCTACACTAACTCACAGGAAAGTCCCTTTGGCCCTCAGTCTGGGTGTACCTATTCCCAGACACAATCTAAAGATTGTGATCATCTGCTTTTAATAAAATAGGCTTTATTAGGCAGAGCGGGCATGGTTTTGTAGGACTCAGGCACAGTTGCAGTGGTTGGAAGAGAACACTGGCATTGAAAAAAAAGAGTAAAACCATAAATACAAGACACATGTATTCAAAAAGGCATTATTAGGGGACCATCTGTCCCCAAAGTAAATGGCCCAACATGCCACAAAAGCCCTTGAGGAAAAGAATATATTTAATATATGATGTTCATAAGGATAACCCTGACTCACAGAGGCATATTCTAAAACTATATTCAAAATGGTTAGAGAAAACAAGAAGCATGTTTCAGGTCTATGGATAAATTAAAATGAGACATTACTCCACCAACAATTTTGTGACTGATATCAATTTAAGGTTATACGCAATACACAAAGTAAATTTTATTCCATTTTTTAAAAAAATATTTCACTGTATTTTTGGTGAAAGTTTACACAGCAAATTAGGTTCCCATTAGACAATTTCTACACCAATTGTTGTGACATTAGTTACATTTTTCACAATGTATCAACATTCTCTTTCATTGTGTTCTAGTTGTTCTGTTTACAGTGATCTAGTTTCCCTGTCCCCTTATCATCTTACTCTACCTTTAAAGCAATTGTTGATCTTTTGATCTCATATAGATTTTTTTTTTTTTTTAATGGAGCAATGTACTCACAGGTAATATCTTTTATTTTTTGTGCCAATATGTTATTTCACTAAAAGATGACCTGGGGAGAGTTCCAGTTTAAGCTTTATAGGCATTTCCTGGGCAATAGTCTCAGGGAGTCCTCTAGTTTCAACTTCGGAAGCTCCCACAAAGCTTTTTGTATGTCTGGACTTTTTAAGAATTTGAGCTCTGATCTGTGTTTTTCTCTGATTCTATCAGGGTTCATTTGCCTTTTTTTTTTTTTTTTTTTTAATGTATATGATCACTCTTGCTACAACTCAGAAGCATCATCCCAAACTAAATCTCAAGGTAGAGGCATTCCTACCTCAAAGGAGTACACACAGACCTTTGTAATTTTTCCCATGGTCACACAGTAAGTAAAGACCAGAAACTTTGCAAGCAAGTTAAGTGTTCTCATCTTTCAATTGCTTCCTTAAATTAAATCTGGAGACCCTCAGCTTTTATGTAAATTTTTAGGATTACAACTATTGCTAAGAATGATGAACATAAAGGCAAATTATAACAGTGGGAGTTAAAGCCATTTTTTACAGTAAAGTGACAATATTTACAACCCAATATTAAGCCAAAAACCAGAAAATTAACACTAGGGTAAATGACATTGATCTTCCCAATCTAATATTGACAAATCTCCACCTTTCTGTCTAAATCCATATATTTAGAATTGGTTATAGCAATCTATTCCTATTTACAGCATCTCTTGGAATACCAAGTTAATATTGAAACTGGGGATTTGCTTGAACTAGCAGTATTAGAGACTTTGGAATAGTACAAAGAGGAGAGACCTTGAAAGCAGGAACAAGCTCCCATTGTTGCAATAGATCAATTTGGACATTTCATATTCAACATTTAGAAGATCTTGCACAAAATGAAGTCTTGCACTGTCCAAATGGCATTTCCTATGCAGCACTTTGAGGAGCATTTGTGCTTACAGAATTGGACAGTAAAATGTCCAAATTTAGAGAGTAATAGGGCGATCAAAAATCAATCATATCTCAGTTTGAAGGCAACAAAAATCCATAAGAGGAAATAGAAGAACTAAAAGCAAAAAATAAAAATGTTCCAACAAATCTGGTCTCATTCAAGAGGAGATTTGCTTTAGTACCTACCTGTTATCCTCAAATCTTGGACTCTTGGTGAAGCACAAAAATCAACCTGAGCATGTGCAGGAAAACAGTTCTTTATTGCCCCCTAGTGCTGGCTAGTCCTACTTCTTCTTAGGCTAAAAACTAGGTGAGTGGTTTCCCTACCTCTAGTTACTTCCTGCTGCCAATGCTCCCAAGAGCTAAACATAGCCCAATCCTCTGCCACAGATTAGGAAACCACCAGGCTATTTTTAGCATCACGCATCTTAGGAATGGAAATGGCCCTGCTTCTGATGGCAACAGAATGTGTGTGGCCTGGCTTAGTGAACTCACCTCTCTCCTCTCCAGAGGGTGTGAACCTACAGGGATCTAATTGGTAGAGGCCAAGGACTGCAAGAGAACTCTGGGGCCCATTACAAAGTGATGGTGGCATATGGATCCTAAGTAGAGAACTACAAGAAAAGGACAATGAGAGGCACAGGCAACAAAGGGAATTGGGGAAGATGACAGATGCCAGACACAGGCTTGGTAATACAGAGCAGTAGTGAAAATCATATGGAACAGGCACAATCCAAAATAGGAGACAGAAGCCAGGAATATTGTACATAGCTGTCACTTAGTAGAAGCTTGTCTAGTAAGAAGCAATATTTTGAACTGGACTTTTATTTTACATAAAAAAGAACAAAGGTTGGTCTGATCTGCTTCCTGCCAGGGTACAGCTGGTACTGTAGCTCCTTTGATCACTTTCCTCCAGACTCTGCAACTCCTATGATTAGAGATAGATCCCTAGGCTGCTCTTTGATCAGTAGCACAAGCAGCCTGCAGGTGCCATGTGCCATCACATTAACAAGCTGTAAGAAGCAACCACATCAATAATGACTGATAAATGTGATACTATGTCTTCCAGCATATGCAACAAATACAAATATTGTCTACAAAAGTCCCGAAGTACTTTATCATTTTCGTATTCAAGAACTTTCTGTGCTACATCTTAAAGATGAACACTTTTGAGAGTTTAAATTCAAAGTCAAAGCCTTGAAACACCCATTAGTTACATAAAAAGTTACTGTGGCTTAAAAAGTTACTGTGGCCACTCTGATTTTCCAGGTATACTGCTTTTGTTCATTTCTCCTGGTTAATGAGGTGACAGCATTCTTGCATTTTGCACAGATGACATAAAAAGCAGTAAAAACATGTACATTTCTTTTCAAATAGCATTAAGAGCCACTACTTGTAAACAAGATGTTTAATATTCTAATTTTAGACAGCCTACATTAACATTGTGGTTTCATGTGCAGTATAAAATTTCTATTTACAAAGTCTTCTCAAAAATGACTTCATAATAGTAGATCAAGAGAAAAAGAGTTTAGAAACTGAATGATGTAAATCATATGGGGTTCAGAGGCTAAGCAAATTACACACCCTGAAGCTGCCCTGGCTTTATGAAAGGAGCCTTTCTCCAGCTCTGCGCAATCCCAGCCCAAGGGAACTTGCATCTGAGAGTTTTCTAAACATTTCAGGTACACTTGAAAGCTGAAAGTAATTCTCATTTCCTATGCAGGATTAAGTCGTTTCCAGCACACACAAAATAGCACTCATTCACCAACACACACAAAAACACACCACCAGAAAGGTAAGGACGTTAGAATACAAAGGCACGTTTAAAATAATAATAATAATAATAATAATAAGAGCACAAGAGCAATCGGTTTTTTAATTCCCCTAAAAACGTCCACATAGCCTCTTGATCTCTATACTTCCTATCTACTGATTAATCGGTGCCTTTCTACCTAAGGTGCTTCAATTAATGCAGTTGATACATCCCCCCAAAAAAATAAGAAAGAAAGAAAATCAGTGGAGTCAAATATGCCAGGGCTCATTCATTTTTTATTCGTTTTTAAGAGCAGTTCCTGAACTTCTAATTCTGGCAGTGAGATGTCTTACAATGTGCGTTTGAACTGACGTTCACAATCGCTTCCAGAATTTCTTCCCCAACTGAGGTTGCAGTGGCACTCACGCTGCCCTGTTAGAGCTTTGTGGGAGCTTCCGAAGTTGCAAACTACACGTAACTTCCAAAAGTCCATGCCAATGAACGAAGGGCGCATTTGCATGGGTAGAGAGACGATTATACCCTCACAGGCTGGTGTACATCACACAAGAACGCACAATGCCAACTTAACACACACAGACAAGGGAGAAACAAGGCGGGGGGGGGGGAGTGCGAAAGTCTTACCGTTCTGCTCCTTGTTGCTGGAGAACTGGAATTTACTACTCAGGTTGGACTCAGCCTGAGTCCCGTGTCTCTGGCCGGCCAGGGCAGATGTCAGCAGGAGAAGCCCGAAGAGGAGCATTTGGCTGACTGGGACGAGAGCTTACTCACGGCGGGCACTTTCGAAGCAGCGACTCCCGAGTCTCTTTCACCACCGCCAGGAGAAGGCTGCACTGGGGTGGAAGCGCCGAGCCTGCTCTGGCAGCAGAGAATCGCAGGGTAGTTTCCACATAATCCCATCCAAAACTTTTTCCTAGAGCCCTCTTCTGTGTCTCCAGTTTTTGAAAAGGATCAAAGCAAAACCTGGACCTGAACCAGTTTCCCAAGGTTTAAACAAATCCTGAGCTGTGCCGAAGTGGTGGGGGTGGGGGTGAAGGCGAGAGAGGAAAGAGGGGGTGGGGACGCGGGGGAGCTGGGAGAGCGGCGAGAAGTCACCAGCAAGTTGCTGGGAGCACCTGTCAGTTTGGGGGACAGGATCGAGGAGAAAACTCTAGGGTTGCGCGAAGCCAAGTTGGCGGCGAGCAGTTCTCAATAACAAAGCTGCCAATAGATGCGGCTCTCCGGGAGCCCCTCTCCCCAGCTCCACCCCCACCCCCAAAGGGGGAGGGGGACGAAATACTGAGAGGGCGCCGCGGCGGTTCCCCGGGCCGCGGAGCCTAAACCCGGCGTGAAGACTCTGGGCCACGGCTGCCCCGGGCGTGGGCGGAGGGAGGCCGCGGGGCTCCCGCTCCCCAGCCCGGCGCGCAGCCTGCACCCGGTCCTGACCGCTGCAGCAAGAATTCCACCACCTGGCTTGAGTTTTCCGCGACCAAAGTTCACCTTGTTTGTGTGCGTCTCCCCCTCCTCGAAGCCCAGGGAAGTTCGGTTGCTCGGGGTCACCACCACAGGGCCCCGGTCGCTACCACTCCCCTCCCCCAACGCTTTGGGCTCCGCGCAAACCTTGGGGCTCGCGGCGGCGTCTCTGCACGGGGTGGAGAGGGAAGGCCGGGGCGGCCCAGAGGATCCGCTTGTCCCCTCCCCTTCTCTGCCTTCCCCCAGCCTGGCTGCAGTCGGGAGGAGGGGACCGTGGGCCGAGCCCAGGCGGAGTGTGCGGCCGGCGACCGGGGGAGGCTTAGCCGCGCTCCTGCGGGCGTTGGGTGAAGCGGAAGGAGGTCGGCGCCTCCTGAACCGGTAGCCCCGGGCCGCGACTACCCTCGCCGCCTTGGTGCGACAACTGGCCGCCCAACAGGTGCTGGCGCAGTCAAGGGGTGCTGCGGCGCTCGCTACATTTAGGAATCAGACTGCCCCCGCAAGAAATACAGCAGGGTGTCTTCTCTTGATTTACTTTCCGTAGGACGCCCCTAACCCCGAATAAAGAACCAGATGGGGTAAAAAAAGGTGCTGTAAAAACAAAAGGAAATAGGAAAGAACTTACTGTAAGTTTTTGTCTGCCCCCCCAACCCCAGTCATTAGTTTCTGAGGGGATCCCCACTCCCAGAGGGCTTTGCCAAGACCCCTTGGCCAGAGTTACTCAACTGAAAGAAATTAGAATTCAAAGATTTCCCTCCAGTTTCTACTCTTGGAAGTGAAATGGATAAAACAAAAGTAAAGGAAAACTGCCAAAATAATATTAACAGCGACATTCATTTAAACAAATATTTATTTCATGCCTTCTATGGCAGGCACTGTTCTAGAAACTGTGGGTGTAGCTGTGAGAACACAAAAATCCCTGCCCTCGTGAAGCTTACATGGTAGTTGTGCTGCATTAAATCAATATCAAGCAAGTGCCCTAACACCCAAAGCAGAAGTATCACCCAGTGTCCTCCCAGGCTCGGTGAAACCAGGGATGCAAACAGTGCAACCACGTGGTTCTCCACATGAGATTGGAAACAAACATACAGCCTTAAGATGCTTGCTGAAAACTAGGTGTGCGGAGTCTTAAATACCTGTTTTTGAGGAGCTACCCTTCCTGGGCTTGTAAGATTACTTGCTGGAACTTCTCTGTAAAGAGTTCAGGGATGCTTATTCTGGGATGTGGGAACAGGAGAAAAATGTCCCTAAAACCAAGGGGTAGCATTTGGGTAGCATAATGGCTAAAGCACTTGACTGCTAACCAGAAGGCTGGCGGTTCAAACCCACCAGACACTCCTCGGAAGGAAGGTTGGGCAATCCTACTTCCATAGTGATACTGCCTCGGAAAACCAAGGAGGGGTCGCTATGAGTCGGACCGACTCGACGGCACATAACAACAACAACAACAGTCCTGAACCAAACCAGCAGCTGATTCTTCCTCAGTCTTGCTGAAAACGTCAAGCCTTCTTCCTCTATTTGGACCCCACCAGCCAACCAACCAAATCCTTCTGGTTAGAATATCCTTTTCTTTTTTTTCTCACTCTTAAAACTCTACTTGACTTAACTCCTCTTTGAAACATTTACCTCCCTGTCCCATTCTTTAATTCTTTTTTCCTTTATCACTTCTATTTGCAGAGTGCTGGCTTAGGCCCAGCTCTTGACTTCAAGGAATTTAGTTTAGAGGACACAAGATGTATTATTTTAATCACCTTAGCAGCTCCTTGACATCAGTGTGAATCCATATTTTCACAATAAATATGTTCCAATGTAGGAGTGTTTCCAATTTTAATATGTATATTGTACATATATATATATATATATATATATATATATATATAATGAGACTTGCTATATAAAAGCTATGTGTGATATATCCTTTTAAATTTATTTTTAACAAAGTTAATTACTCCCTCTTTTTTTTTATTTTCGTAAGTTTAGTTTTCTAATTAGGATTTTCTAAATGATGCTGTTATATGCCCATATAGTTGAGTTTCCTGCCCACCCACACAGGATTTATGTATGTGTGTAAGTATATGTTCGCAGATACATGCATTTGCTCTCTCTAGATAATAGGGGCAATGACTACTCTTTATTCTGTATAATTTCATATTGACTAGAATAGTGCCTGGCACAGGGGAATAATAAATAAATACTCTTGACTGACTGACAGTTTTCTTTATTGAGTCACTTACATTCTCCCTGGAATTTCAGCACGAAGGTTGTATTTGAAAAGTTACAGATGATCTGGAATAATACCCAACCTCTGTGTTTCACCTCATCCATATTCTACAGATTGATTTGACAAATGCCTTATAAAGAAAGCCAGCCAGGTGCTCCTGAATGACCCCTAGACAAAATCACATCCACATTGGCAAGTTTCCTTTCATTGTACTTGATTGTTGTTTCTTAAACTATTCTTGCTTTATTTTACACTTTATTCTCTCCCTGCCTTTCTGTTCCATTTTGCTTATATACCTTTCCTAGAAAAGTGTGATCTTTGCATTGAAAGTAAATTTTGTATAATCCAGAGTCTGGGTGCTTACTAAACAATATATTTTGAATGAATATGGCTTTATTTTGACCAAAGGCATTTTCCCCAAGGAAAGGCATCTTTGCTCTGACAACCAAGAGAACATAATTGTGAGCATTGTTTGTGGTTTTCACATTTTTTTAACCCTTGGGAAGGAGTGCCTGCTTCTGCTAAATACATGAAGAGTACTACCTACAAATTCCTGTTGAAGAACATGGTAAAATGTACTTGGTTGTTAAGAAATGATGGCTTTGTTTTGTTTTGTTTTCTGGACAGATATCATTATTTTATTTTACTTTTTCTTTAAATGAAATAAGGTTTTAAAGCCGGCTACCTCTACAGCTAGCTATTTAACATCCAGGAGGCAGAAACCTGAGGGAATATTTTGCCTCAGTAAACCAATAATTTCAAGTCTTCTTGCTCTTTCTTCTTTTGTGTCAATACACACACACACACACACACACACAAGCACACACGCAAAATTGAAGATTTTTCCCAAAACTTTTTATTGTTTTAGTGATGGACAATAATGCATAAGTTTCTAAAGTCCAAAATGCTCTGTTCTGACTAATGTCCACTATGTTTCCAGACTGGCTAGCAAGCAACATGTATATATACATATATATGAGGACAGAGGTAAGGATGTCATTAGTAAGCAAAATGTCCAAAGATGGCAGCAGGAGTAAAGACTGTTCTAGGCAAATAAAGGAAAAAAGTAAAGAAGTAAGTAGTCTCTCTCAGAGTCATCCATTTGTCTCTCCACTTCCTCCAACTATCCTGTCTTGAGAAACAGATAATTGTGCTACCTCTAGGTATGTAGAATATATTAATACTGTCTTTTTCCAACCTAGAAACAATCAAACACACTTTTTCTTATATATTATTCTTAGGCAACTTGTACCTCCCAATGTAACAACTGCTAATCTGAGAAAAGCTTGTTTTCTGTGGAGGTGGTGGAGGGCTCTGTTAAGATCATGCTCTCTGAAGCAGCAGAAGTACTTTTTAATTTTGACTTTTTCGGTGAGTTAGGAGGGGACAAGTGAGAGGTGTGTGGCCAGGAGAAATAAGTGACAAAGACTTGTGTTCTGTGGCCTTTCTTATTGATGTAAAGCTGCTATTTCCCTTTTCGAAATCACAGTTGATCATGCACAGATTTTTCCAAAATCTCCGAAGCACTTGTCTGACTCAGAACGCAGGGAGTAAGTAACCAGAAACAGCCCCAAAGAAAGAAGAGCCCTGGTAACCTTTGAACCACCACAACAAAAGAGCATTTCACTGGGAGATGGGAGACCAAGGACTTAGTCTGGCTTTACCATGAACAAACAGTACAACCTTGATCTACAAATCCGCTCTGCCTCTCAGTTTTCTTACTTTTATGACAAGCAATTTGAACTTAATTCTGTCTCCAGCCTCTTACTGCCTTAGAATTATTTGTTTCTCTGAGCTATTTGATAATGATAGGAATATTTTTTTCATTTTAATTTTGCCTCTGTGGTAATATATGACTAGAGCAATGATTTTTTAGCTTCAACTGGAACGTGCGTTGGTGGTTAGCAAGAAAAATGATGGATAAGTTCCTTTTTTCTAAACTTGCCCAACCAAAGTAGTTCTATTTTATCTGTTATTATGTGGCTTAGAAAGACAGATTCTGTGGATAACCAAAAATATATATATATATATATATAGAAAAAGTCACTGGCTAGGGTAAGTACCAAGTACCAAGAATGTTAATTGGATTCAAGGAAACCAAATAAACTATGTGTGGGTATCTACATTTTAATTTCTATATTTGACTGGCATCACAGTAGCAACAATAAAAGAGGCAAAGTGTGGCCCAAGTGAAGTATGAAGGAAAAGAGGAATATTCATAGTATGTAACTGTGTTGTAATTAATTGGGAAATAATAATGTTGGTAGCCAAGAACAAATAGTCGATCTCTTACTGTTCCATAGATCCATACTATTGGAATATGAAATATTTCAAGGAGCAAGCAGCTTCCCCTAAATGTGTGGACAGCAACCAAATACTATGTTTGGCCATATACTCAAGTCAATAAGATGTCATTTTTCTCTCCTTTGAAATCATTTGTAGGATATGAAAGCTGTTGTCCCCGTTGTAACAAATCGTAGTAAAGAGGTCAAGACACAGCCACAGATCCTCCTTTCTCATATAGTGACCCTCTTATTTCAAAGGTCATGGGAGAA